AGCCTGAGCATGTCCTGATGCTTCCCTCATCGCTTCTTGCTCGTACGCGCCTCAACAGCTTGTAGACCAAGAGGAGGAAGCTTTGATTTTGATTTTGAAGAAAAGTTAAAATCAACTTTGAGAGGTTCTACAGACTTTCATCATTTTCAGATTCATGTCAATATATTACATACAGTTACTAGGTTTGTTTCTATGATGTTCACAGCAGACCTCAGTAGCACTGAGCTAAATCGCTGAGCACTTAGCTCGCCTCCACCGCTAAATCTCTATAAACTTCACAAAAGGTCATTAAGTTTTTGACACGGCTCATAAGACAACTTGATCTCATTAGCTTTAAGGTACAAATCATCTCCTATTTAAAAAAAAAAAGTATTGTACAACCAGTTTCATTATACCTTTTTTCTCTTTTTACTCTTCAGGATTTCACAATGGATTTCTATTTTCGGCAATATTGGACAGACCCACGGTTAGATTTCAGTGCTAATAAAGGTTTGAACGAAATCCAAGTTAGCACAGACTACACCGGAAAAATTTGGGTGCCCGATACCTTCTTTCCCAATGAAAAGCGGGCATACTACCACACAGCTACCACGCCCAATGAGCTCTTACGCATCTCATCTCAAGGCAATGTGTTGAGGAGTATAAGGTAAATACACAGTGCGTCGTTTTCCCCGTGTGGTGGTATGCACTCGGCGCTCAGACACGTGGAATAGGAGCAGGAGAAGCAAGGCTCAGAGATGAGCATTTGATCGGTGAGAGCGATGGTTCAAAGGGTCAGTTCTGAGCATTGAAATTAGGGGAATACCGCTCCTTCCTTCCACTACCTTTCCTCTCCGGATTTCATGGTGTGGTGTGTCAGGGTTCAAATCTATTTAGAGTTGTTATTGCCCCCATACCTAACGCCTCTAAGAACCCTTTTTTTCTTTCTTTCATGACTATATATCCTTTCATTTACTAACTCCATCTTCCCATCCGGACACAGAACTACGTGTTATAACTCCCTGATACCTGATCCCTTATTGTGTCCCTATCACTGTTCATCTACTGAGTCCCCAAAAGTTCTTCACATTCGCAAACTGAATTCCTGCAAGGTACATCGATGTAATAGTTTGGACCTCTCCGGACGCCTCTGTTCCACTATGGTAACTGTTGGGCTTCCAGGCCTGCCTAGAACCAGAGCCCGTGGACTTGTCAGCAGCTTCCCCGAGGTCTTCTTAGCCTGTCTGAGTTCTTTAGTGTTCCTTCCCGCGCCTTGTGGTGAGCATTGTTTATGTGTGGCTGCCTCGCCTCGCCTGGGTGCCCGTGGCCGGCCCACTGCTCTCTCCCTCGGACCCGCACCATAACATTGAGTTTTACTACTACTACTACTACTACTACTACTACTGCTATACTAGTAAGCTTCGGTGTAGCACTCAAGTCTTCTTTGCCACGTAACAATTGCTTTCCTCTTGAGTAACTGTATTTAGCTTGACATGATCAATCAGTCTGAGCTCTCTTCACCTTTTCCAACTTTCTTCCGAATGAACCAAACCTTCCTCTGTTTCTGTCTCTTTTGGAATAAATGTTGCTTGGCTTTGGTAACCTTCACAGCAGTGCACTTTTTCCCCTTTCCCTTTTTACTAGACCTGTAGACGTTGTTATGACCCCCCCTCCCCTTCGTTACCCAGTACGTCACCCCTGGCCGTCAAGAAGGCAAACCGCGGTGGTCCGTGACCAACAGGTGCGCCACATGACGCATGCGCCGTCACCGTCGCTGCTCTCGGATTAGTAATTACCTGTGTAATATCTAGGTTTCTTGACGTCTCCCTCGCCATTATGTCCACAGCCATACCCTAGTCCTGGCTATGCCTCGTCCCACGTCCTATCTCACCTCTACCAGCCAGCCAGCAGGGCCAGCAGTCCCCATAGAATTATGAGTTTCCCAGTATGTCCCCACGAGTGTGTATGTGTGTGTACTCGACCCACTTTGTGCTTGTCAGTGGGAGTACACACACTATAGTCCATCACTGTATATAACCTCCCTGATTTGCGTGTAGTGCTGCAGTGCACCTTATAGTAGTGAAACGTGCAGGTGAAATACTTGACTCACTCTCCTCAACGTCTGCGTCTAGATTCTCTGTCCTCTATTAAAAAAAAAATGTTTTCCGTTACGTATACACCACAGAAAAAGGAATCACACGTTCATAGCTTAGTTCTTCTTTCGTTTTTCTATGCTTTTCTTAGGGTTTCGAAGTTCTTAGGTATCCAAGCGTTCTTCATCTCCAAGAAAGACATGTGAACACTCAATCCTTATTCTCACGTCCAGTTTAAGTCTCAAAATCCATTAGAGGAAAGAAAAACTTCGCCTCCAGATGACACGAGTCACAAAAAAGTTGTGCGATAAAGTTGATTAGCTAAAATTCTCCCTCTTTTGCCAGACTTTATCAAGATAATGTTTATAGTCCAATGGTACCTAGTGTGAAGCAGTTGAGGGTGTGTTTATCATACTCGAAAGACTTAAATAAAAATGAAGACTAAGAAATAGTGAATTCACCCCCAAAAACACACGGTACATACCTTCATCCGCAACGATTATTCCCTTACCATATACATGAAATGTTAAATATCCCATCAGAGTTACTCGAATAACAAGCAACTTTGTAGCATTCAGTGTCTTTATTTCTTCATTTAGCATCATGCTAATCTTGGTCACCAAAAGACTGTCACAGTCTGCATCAGATAATGCAAACAATAAAAGTAATTACACTCCTGCTTAAGTAGCCGAGTTGTACATCATTCACCAAATTTTTACTGAATGAAGACCTCTGACTGCTACAAATTCTACCCAACCTATACAAGCTTCTTGACCGATAATCATCGACTTCAATTTCTTCTCAGTACTGAACATGGTTTAACCCAAAACTACAGATCACTCAGTACTAGAAAAAAGTGAAGCAGTAATCCCCCCAAATCTTTTTTGAACCACTTTTTTTTCACCCTTAACCTCTTACAAAGAAGAGTCCGAGGTCGTCCTCAGAGCGATGCGATGTTTCCAGGAGTGTAATGTTATCATAATGTGCCTGTTTTCACATTTTCAGACGGACGTGGCCCCCAGCAATCATTCTGGACATGCCACATATCACCCACTCTTCTGTCTGACTGGAATGATTTTTTTTTTTTACCGAGGATGGAATATATTCCCTCTTGCCCTTTAACTTATCTCTCTCTCTTTTTTTTTTATTCTCTCAAGCCTCTGATCTTCATCGAGTTATATGTCTGTCTTCATCTCTCTGGATAGCTGCTATCACCACACGCTCACCACACCATGTGTTGTGTCAGTATCAGGACCACAGAGTTACCGCCAGGCATCACAGGCGACACTGGTTGTGACGGGAAACTTGCCAATAAAAATAGATGGCATAGTAATCTTTTTATGTATAATATAATTATATAATAAGAGCTAAGCGAAACTGTTTTAGCCTCTTTCCATGCATATAATAATAATAATAATGATAATAATAATAATTATAGTAAATATAATATTGCCAGTTATGTACCTTTTGATTCGCCAAAACGTAACTAGATTGAGAAAATTACTCTATATAGTGATGAGAATAAATATCGGATTATTAATTGCTCAGACTCTAAGGATATACCTATATGCAATATATATATATAATATATATATATATATATATATATTTTATATATATATATATATATATATATATATATATATATATATATATATATATATCTTTGTGTGTGTGTATGTGTGTGTGTGTGTGTGTGTGTGTGTGTGTGTGTGTGTGTGTGTGTGTGTGTGGTGCAGAATAAGCTGAACTGGCAAGTAGACATACAATGCAAGGGTCATTTGTGCGAAAAAAGCGTAGAGAAAATTTATGCAAAAAATATCTGCAAAAGTCAATATGAATATATCGAGAAAAAAAATATTTCATTGATTTTAAGCAATATTAGATAAATTTAAACTTGTCTGTTATATATTTAGTAGAATTTTAATAATAAAAAAGTTAGATTAGGGCAGGTTAGGTGATTTTTCTTTGTTAGGTTTGGTCAAAAAAAAAAAAAATTAAATCAGAGTGTATGTATAGAACTGTAAATGTTTTCTTTTTTTTGGGGGGAGAGGGGGTAGTTCAATTTTTAAAGTAGATCGGCCTATTCGTCAAGTTCGGTTTATTAGGCACGAATATATATATATATATATATATATATATATATATATATATATATATATATATATATATATATATATATATATATATATATATATATATATATATATATATATATATTTATGTATATATATATATATATATATTATATATATATATATATATATATATATATATATATATATATATATATATATATATATATATATATATATATATACATATGTTATATATATATATATATATATATATATATATATATATATATACATATATATATATATATATATATATATATATATATATATATATATATATATATATATATATATATATATATATATATATATATATATATATATATTGCAGGCGAGTCCTGTTCACAACCAAATAAAAATTCTTGGTCACTGAAATGTGTGTATTTTGTTATGTAAGCACAGTACACCATGAATAAATTCACTAACTCGCCACTATGTTATTTCAAACTTGAATGTCCATTACTTAATTTGACGTTGTCTTCCATCCCCTTCCTTCAATTTTAGATATTCTTCTTTATCTTTCATTCGTCTGTGATCACTCCTCTTCTTGTGCCTCTCACAGTGTGCCTGTAAGATGCGCGTGGATGTTTGCCTGCATATTACTGACCTTTACTGACCCATCTCTACTTTCTGACCAACAGTTACCATCCAACTTGCTAAAAGAAAAAAAAAAGAAAAGAGAAAAAATCTATATAAAAAAATCAGGTCATTAACTCAGGTTAAAAAAAAAAATTCTTGCTAGTTGAGATCTTCAGCTGACACTTGATTTTTGTTTTTCTCCGATCTTCAGGACTTTACTCTCGACTTTTATTTTCGTCAACACTGGACCGACCCTCGGCTGTCCTTCCCCGATCGTGGGGGTTTGGACGAACTCACAGTGGGCTCGGAGTATCTGCAGAAAATTTGGGTTCCAGACACCTTTTTTGCCAATGAGAAGAAGTCTTATTTTCACACGGCAACCACCTCTAATGAGATGCTCAGAATCACCAACCAGGGCAAAGTTTTGCGGAGTATAAGGTAAGAGTGTTAGGGGCCAGGGTTACGTAGCAAAACAAAACAAAAATCTCCACTACCACCACCACCTCCACTACCTAATCCACCTATCTCCACGTCCATCTCCACGCCCAACTCTACGCCCATCTCCACGCCTACGGTGAGACGTAGGCGACGAAGGTAGGGCGCCCCTGGGTAGCACTTCATGCCCCGACAGATAAGCATGTTATATAGGCAGTGATGCTGCAATCACTGGTACAGTCACTGAGGTAACAGTTCCCTTGTTTACAATAACACTCTTGCTTATCAAGTAGTGTGTAAAAGTCACAATACAAAGGCTGGAAATAAACCTAGCTGGAACATCACTGTGGCTGGGACAATTCATAACCTACAAATTGGAGATACAATTATATTAGTGCTTGTGTGTATGTGTGTGTGTGTGTGTGTGTGTGTGTGTGTGTGTGTGTGTGTGTGTGTGTGTGTGTCTGTCTGTCTGTCTGTCTGTCTGTGTGTCTGTGTGTCTGTGTGTCTGTGTCTGTGTGTCTGTGTCTGTGTGTGTGTGTATGTGTGTATGTGTTTGTTTTAGCAACAAGTTGGAACAGAGCAGACAGGTGTCTGGCAGTACACACCTTAAGACTACTCGGCACAGCACCCAGAGGCGACCTATCCTACGGTGTTGACCAGTTCCTCTCCGTTGATTGCTCCCCCTCGTTCATTCACGCTCAGTAATGTTAGAAGACATCAAGAGAAGCCCCACTGAGCTTCATTCACATTTCAATAACACAAAAATGATTAGTTGACGAAAACTTGTGAGCGCTGGTAAATATGAACTAAGGGGTTGAGGCAATGTTATCCAGGCTGCTGCGTACCTTGGCTCCCCGATTATCAGTGATTTTTGTCAGTCATCGTTGTGGCATTGCACGCTCGGACATATTTAACTTACAGTTTAAATACAAATGTTCCTCTCTGTATTTATTAAACTTGGCGTTTAACCAAAGAAAGTACAACGGGAAGGAATATCTAGACACGGTTAAAACTGCGCCCCACACTGATGGCAGCTACGCTCCTTTTCGTTGGTACCGTCTGCGACGTCTGTTGTGGCCAGTTTCTCTTGCTCAATGGGCAGCAAATCTACTTCAGGTAACGTTTTCACTTGCCTCCATACTCTCCCTACTCTCTTACCATAATATTTGTTTAAAGTTGATAGTTCTCTTGATGTAACCATCACCTGGAAGCGAAAATATGAGCCTCTGCCGAGTCATCGACAATTTCACGAATTATATGCTGTTGATTTACACTGAAAAATAAGATTAAGGTAAAAACCTTGTCAATACAAACTGGTAATGCAATCACTGATTAAAAATTTATTTGAGCTAATACTGATAACAGTGCAAAGATTTCAATATATATGTTGAGAGGACTCATCACGGGAGAGAATGGAGGTGAGAACAGCAACACCCAGGCACTGTATACACTATAGTCATTATTCTCATCGTTCTCAACCAGGTAAGAATTTTCCAATTTTCATATTTTAGAGAACGTGTACTGGTGGCCTAAATAAGTTTTTAATGGTGTTTTCTCTTTTGACGTTGTGTTTTTCTTTTAGTATCAATCGTCTGATTATCCCTCTCTGCTCTCGGGCTCAAAAGGACTTATTTTGTGATAAAGAATTCAACCTGCAGGTACTGTTTAACATTAAAAATCCTTTCTTAATCTCTGTGTATTACTTTTATAGCCCGTGTTCTATGTAATACCAGTGATAATACTGTGCAGTCTTGTATATCTCCAAGATTAAATACTTAAATGCCAAGTTAATTTATAAAATGTATTCTCTAAGATATCTTACATGTATGATAATAAATACAATGTTCAGAGCCTTATAAATATAATTAACTGACAGTTAAATAAAGGAACGAGATTCTGTCATGTGCTTGAGAGCCATATATGTTTCTGAATGTTAATGTTTTTAATGTTCACTGTTGTTCCTTGGCTGGTTACTGCGGCGTGAAGTAACTGTTCCTCTTGCTCTTTTCCTTATTTGTTATTCAAGTATTTCCATTATTTCTTTTTTCTTCCCATAATTGGAAAGCACTCATGCTTACTTCATTCCATGTCACATAGCACATCAAACTATTTGTGAATTAACGACAGATGGTTACTGAACGTTTTTTTCAACGTGTCCTCTTCAAGGCCAGCTCGAGTAAAACGCATAATTCATCACAGAAATTTGTTGATATTAATATAAAATATATATAATAAACTAAGGCCTTCAGCAAGAAAAATAAATGTAGTGAGCCCTCAGACGTCCTGAAATCAAAGGTTGGTGGTGAATGCACTCTCTCATGTACTGATCCCTAGGTGTTTTTCCTCTTTTTTTTATCTCTTCATTGGCGTTCCTACGATGTTTCATCGTCGGTGACTTCGTCGTTTTTCATGCCGTTGCTGCACCTGCCTCGGCGACACTTCTGGATGACTCCCGTCGGCCACTGCAGATTGACCATCACTGCCTCGTGTCCGATGAACCTCCAATACTTCCCAATGGACCGACAGCTCTGTATCATCGAAATTGAAAGCTGTAAGTACACTGTTTTTAGCTTCCATGTATTACGGGATATTAAAAGGACTTACCGAAGACTTGTTGGGGGACAACTACTGTACGTTGGACGTTTATGATGTGGGCAATGTGGAAGTACTTGCCTATGTTGCAAATATGTTAGAAGTATGTGGTGTTAGTAGTCTGAGACATACTTTTCTGTAGTTATGTGTGGACAAGCGCGTGTTGTCACTTATATGTATGTCTGAGTGTGTGTGATAGTTTCTTAAAATCTGGCATACCTATTCTTAAAACTATGTCTGAAGTCTGCCTCAATCACTGTTTCCCCATCCATATGATTCCTCCTTTAGAGTAACTTAAAACTTAAGAAATGTCTTGAAGTTCCTATAGCAAACTGCGTTCTAAATTTTCATCTATGTATTAATTTTTACATTCCCCGCCTCTCAGTACTTCTCTGTCCTTCTTTAATCTTTTAAATAAAGTACACGTGGATGTTATATCTATTTTTCACTTTATAGTTCATTACTCAAGGGCATGGAACTGTTCTTGCTGCAAGCCTCTGCACTTTTGTAAATGTTTGATCAGGATGACCAAAAAGGCACAATACTGTGACTGGAACAGTACCGTGACTGGAACAATACCATGAGTGGAACAATACACAAATAACCGCACATAAAAGAGACAATTTTATGTGTGTTCCACGTTAATGAGGCATATTTCATGAAATGATCGACGCTTATCGTACATTGGGTAATGAATGACTTTGTTGATTGAGGTGTTCGTTATACAACTTAGCAGTAGGTCCCTCTCTTTAAGAAATATTTGTAACCATTGTCCACCGTCTGTGCTTCGTTCTCGAGGCTTCCCTCTCTCTCTTTCTCTCTCTCTCTCTCTCTCTCTCTCTCTCTCTCTCTCTCTCTCTCTCTCCTCTCTCTCTCTCTCTCTCTCTCTCTCTCTCTCTCTTCTCTCTCTCTCTCTCTCTCTGCCCACTCCCTTCCCTCCCATCTCTCATCCATGTCGCCCTTTTCTCACCATTTTCCTCCCTGTCCTATTCATCTGCCTCTCACTCTCTCTACCACTTCCCACCACGTCCATCCCAGACAGACAAAAGCACCATCCTTGGTTATTACTGGAACGTCTGAACGACTGACCCAGATGACTGCCACTTTGGCTGGGACATGCGGGAACGTCTGAACGACTGACCCAGATGACTGCCACCTTAGCAGGACATGCGGGAACGTCTGAGAGACTTTAATTAAAGGAAAACTTGATAAATTATGCTGACAACCACAAGATGGAGATAAGAGACCGATAATGACGGGAAGTCAATGGAGAGAAAAGAGAGAGAGAGAGAGAGAGAGAGAGAGAGAGAGAGAGAGAGAGAGAGAGAGAGAGAGAGAGAGAGAGAGAGAGTGGGGGAAGGGAGAAAGTGGGCGGAAAGGGATTATGGCTGAGAGTTTCCGAGAGGAATATTAACTCCTTATTATCCCTCCGGAAGATATCTGGGTGCATTTGAGCTCGGCACAAAGGATTCTATATTTACAACTGACCTCGAGCGTTTCCAGAAGCCAGTCATTCAGTGCAGAAATGCTGCCTCGCTGGTACACCTTACAGAGACTGCAGAAAATAGTTTGATAGACCTGGAAAATCCTTTACAACTCTGCCTAATCTGTAGCCCTGCGTAATGGGCTGATATATATATATATATATATATATATATATATATATATATATATATATATATATATATATATATATATATATATATATATATATATATATATATATATATATATATCAGCCACCATGATTCGAACCCTGGCTTGTAGTGAAGCCTAATGTTCCGAGGCATCTGTAGCTGAGTAGTAAAAGGCGTCACACTGGGAGTTACGTCACATTCGTGTACATCAAACGTGGGTTCTAAATCTGTAGGTGTGATGCATCACCTGTGGAATGGGAAGTAATTTGGTCTGATCTGAGGAAGGAAAGGGTAGCTTTAATTCGTTGATTTCTTAAAGAATTATACTGGTGAGCGAAGGGGATGAAAAGACACGCGAAAGAGCGTAAATTTTTTTCATAACGAAGTTTCAGGAAGCTTTCTCGTGTTAACCTGGCAAATACTTCATTGACAGTATACAGTGCTGGCAAGTTGTCCATTATACATAAATAACCCACACATAGGAGAGAGGAGCTTACGACGACGTTTCGGTCCGACTTGGACCATTAAAAAGTCACACTGTGACTTTGGACCATTTACAAGGCCACGAAGTGTGACTTTGTAAATGGTCCAAGTCGGATCGAAACGTCACTGTAAGCACCTCTCTCCTATGTGCGGGTTATTTGTGTATTGTTCTAGTCACGGTATTGTGCCTTTTTGTTCTTCAGTACTCCAATGATGAGTACTGGGTACGAACGCTCGTTGTATGAGTAACGACTTCAGTATTCAACTCTATGCCATATTAAGTGCTATTTGTGTAAGGAAGGAAATCAACTGTGTGCCACCCATCACTCTTCAGTTCGAAGGACCACTATATAAAGAAATAAATCAATATTATGCAATATGTTATATTATCTGAAAAACTAGATCTATGACCCTTACAATTTTAGCGATTGTTTTAAATATAATAATAATAATAATAATAATAATAATAATAATAATAATAATAATAATAATAATAAACAAAGAGTATTTCTTACATCAATCGCATCATCTGGAAAAGACATAGACAGTGGCACAAAACTTAAAGTGATTGTGATGGCTGTGTGGCTGACTTTGTTTTTTTTATAAGATGTCGTCTAGACATGTCTGGTTCTTCACATTTATGGTGGGTGCGTTTGTGTGTGTGTGTGTGTGTGTGTGTGTGTGTGTGTGTGTGTACACTCGTTAATGCCGGCTGGAGTTGAGCATCAAATCTAGCAAGCCAAAAAAAAAAAAAAAAAAAATCCAGGCAACCAGTTCTCAAAGTTTAAGTAATAATTTCTCAATACAATTCCGGCAGTTCAGTTGACTTCAGATGGCAAAACAATTATACAGTTTAGGACAGAGCAAACTTCAGAAACCTTTGCGGGTCTTTTTTGTAACTCCTGAAAGTCAGAAATTTTGTCCAGTTCCTGTTTTTTTATAAGATACATGTGCAACAGTTAGGTATCTTTATTCAGAAATGTTTCTTTCTCTGTCTCTCTCTATGAATTCCTTTTAAATCTTGTGTCTTTTGTTGAGCCTGGTTCTAATAGTTTACTTTTAAATTCCCATTGAGGTTTTGTTGAACCCTTCTATCTGGAATAGACTCGGCATGAACCTCTCTCGATCCTCTTCTGTCCCATCTGCCTTCTTCTTCTTCTCCTCCACTTTCCCCTTCCATTCTAAAACCCTTACACTTTTGTCTCCATTCTACACAGCCCTTCATCACACTAAGTTAATTCTCCCTCCTCTCATTCCCTCTCCATTCCCCTTTCCTCTGTACCGCACTTTTTGATGAATTGAGCACAAATGAAGCGTTGTAAGGTTTCATTATAAGCAACGTTTCGCTCAAGAGGGTTCAAATGTGCCACGGCCACTGCTCTAATTTGACTGCTCCATGAAACCCTTGTAAGCTGACTCGTCATACGCTCACTTACTTAATTCATTCGTACTTGAAGCACAAACTGTCAACTTCTCTATGGTGACTCCTGTTTCTCTGTCTGTCTGTCTGTCTCTCTCTCTCTCTCTCTCTCTCTCTCTCTCTCTCTCTCTCTCTCTCTCTCTCTCTCTCTCTCTCTCTCTCTCTCTCTCTCTCTCTCCTGGGTAAACCTCAATAAAGTGACACTCCTCGCTAGTTACAACATGTTTAGTCACCAAGCTATGCCAGCCACACCATGTGCAGGGTCTCCAAATTATGGAAACCACACCATGCACAGTCTCTCAAAGCTATGGAAACCACACCATGTATACAAACAATACTAAGTATAATCAGGAACACCTTCCTCCACTTATCGCAAACCAAGATGATTCGAGCACAAGAGATCTGTGCCTGATGTTCCTAGCAGAGTCCATAGTCGAGGAAGCCTTTGATCCTGTGAGGGGTCATACAACCTGAAGAGATTCGGAGGAGTGAGTCATCGGATCTGATCCTAGGAGAGAAGCGCTTCACTTCTCTTGATCAAGAGGAGCCAGCATATCTTAACTTCTGGCTTGTTAATAGTTTATTTGTCAGGAGAAAATCAAATTTAAGTCATATATGACTAGTGCATTAAAGTTTTTGGTAATTCGGTAGAATTATTATTATTATTATTATTATTATTATTATTATTATTATTATTATTATTATTATTATTATTATTATGGGGAGCGCAAAACCCATAGGAATTATACAATACCAGGGGGGTTATTGAAGGCATTCAGACTTAATTCAGGGAATTGGAGCACAGATCCAATTTCCTAGATCAAGAGCCCTTCACCAGCATCAAGGAATTTGTTAGGAGCCTTTCGCTGGCTTCTCCGTCACGAGAAGAATTACGTTTGTTTCGGTTTCCGTGTTATCTGAGAAAGATATTATTTACCCTTATTTTATAACTCTGTTTGCGCATCTGTATCTCAGCGCAAAGAGGCATAGTGGCCGTGTATTAACATCCTCATGAGGCACAGAAAATGCAATGTATTGTCAATTAGAGACCTAGAATGTATAACTCAATCTTTCCAAGAGTTCCAGGATTAAAATCACACACTTTTATTACACAAAGAAAAAAGTAATGAACAGCGTGAATGATAAACAGAAACGAAGAAAAAATATGATAATGAGATAGCACAGGAATAACGGGAATCCCTAGACAGTCACGTACGTGTGCTACTAAAACTAGTGCATATATAAAGCCATGGATTGATGTACGTTCCATTATAAAGAGGGAGGGAAAGAATGTGATGGTACTGGTAACAAGACGGCAGATAAGAACGGACGAGATTATAGTGGCAACACAGGGAAAGAAAAGTAGCAGGAAGATAAATTAAGCTTCAACAGGCAGGAACCAAATTGAACGAGTATATATCAGGCCAACAGATGGCGTTGGCAGGCGAGATAGACAAAAAAAAGCCTGGGAACTGTTACCAACAGACTACCACACTGCTAGACAAACCGGGAGAATGAGAGACTTCTACCTTATACACCTGACACGGGTCATGATCATAAGAGGGTTCAGTGATGCTCGTTCTATTGCCGGGGCGTAACAGGTCTGTGTAAAATCACTTGAAGGTGTAGCCGATGGTAATCAGACACGATCGCTGGCTTCCCCATGCTCCACTTTTGTCAAGATTGATGGGCTGAACTCATCGACTGAGGGACTGATCACCTCAAACTCTTCCTCATCTTCCATCTTTTTCTGCATTGAACTGAAGAAGCCACTATGTGGCGAAACGTTCCAGAATAAAGATACCCAAATATTCCATAAGTGTCTGATTTATCATGCGACACTCAGTATGTGAACAAGTAGTTACGTTAGGTAAGGTTTGTCAGGAAACAGGACAAGTGTTTCCTGACATCGGTCGTAGTCATATGATGACCCGCACCTGGAGTATTTGGTCATCTGACCGAAACCTTCTGCTGGCTTACCTGTCCACCCCCTGTAAAATTTTTGGTTATAATTATAACTATTATGAATTGCATATAATAAAATAGCGAGTAGTTGCTTAGATTTATCGTTATTCCTGCATATCAAGGGAATAGCTTTTGCTCCCAGTATATAGCTGTAACATAGATTAGTGTAGCAGAACACTGCGGATGTATTCAATTTTACTAAATAGTGTAAGAAAACTTGTTAATATAACTAATACACTTAAATTCTTTATATCTGGTGTCGTTTTTCTGACATGGGGATATATGTACGCGACTTATCGCACTGAATTTAAAATACCATAAATTATATGATTTTACATCGTGTTGAATACAATATTTTAACAAGCGGTTTAGAGGAACTAGGGAGTCCCCCAAGGCGGTAATATACGGAGGGCAGCCAAGAGGTTCTCGTGTTTTATATATATATATATATATATATATATATATATAATATAATATATATATATATATATATATATATATATATTATATATATATATATATATATATATATATGTATATATATAGACTGGGTCTTCATTATTCACCTGCAGGACACAGAGACATCATTATAGAACATTAGCTATTTAATGTATTTCAATTATTTCATGTAATTAATTTACAAGAGTATATTATGAATATATCGTCGAGTCAAACTTAACCTATTGACGGCTGGAACAATACCGAGGTTGGAACAATTCAGTGACTCAATCGATTCCGTGGCTGGAGCAAACTGTGGCTTGAACAATACCGTGGCTGGAACAAACCCGTAAACAGAACAATATTGAGGCTGGAACAATACCGGAACCGGAGCGATGCTGTGGCTGGAACAACACCATGACTGAAAAAATCCTTTGGCTGAAACAATGGATATTTTAGACGACGTATCGGTCCTTCCTGGGCCATTATCAAGTTGCAGTTGAGACCAGTGAATCAGATCCAGTGGTTAATCAGAGAGAGAGAGAGAGAGAGAGAGAGAGAGAGAGAGAGAGAGAGAGAGAGAGATAGAGAGAGAAAGAGAGATAGAGAGAGAGATAGATAGATAGATAGAGAGAGAGAGAGAGAGAGAGAGAGAGAGAGAGAGAGAGAGAGAGAGAGAGAGAAAAGAGAGAGAGAGAGAGAAAAGAGAGAGAGCGTAATGTTTGTGGAGCAAACAATTCAGATTTCTTGTTCTTGGTCTTGTTCCACGAATTACTGAATTTTTCATTCGCCTCTGAGGAAGGTGAGGAATTTCCCAACAAATTTCTGCTAGTATTTCTACCACCACCAATCATATCATTACTACTATATCTGATGCAGTCACCACTACTACCATTATTGCTACTTCTATCACCACAACAACTACTACTACTACTTCTACTACCACCTAATTAATAATAATAATAATAATAATAATAATAATAGTAATGATAATAATAATAATAATAATAATAATAATAATAATAATAATTATTATTTATTATTATTATTATTATTTTTTTTTTTTTTTTTTTTTATCACACTGGCCGATTCCCACCAAGGCAGGGTGGCCTGAAAAAGAAAAACTTTCACCATCATTCACTCCATCACTGTCTTGCCAGAAGGGTGCTTTACACTACAGTTTTTAAACTGCAACATTAACACCCCTCCTTCAGAGTGCAGGCACTGTACTTCCCATCTCCAGGACTCAAGTCCGGCCTGCCGGTTTCCCTGAACCCCTTCATAAATGTTACTTTGCTCACACTCCAACAGCACGTCAAGTATTAAAAACCATTTGTCTCCATTCACTCCTATCAAACGCTCTCACGCATGCCTGCTGGAAGTCCAAGCCACTCGCACAAAAAACCTCCTTTACCTCCTCCCTCCAACCTTTCCTAGGCCGACCCCTACCCCGCCTTCCTTCCACTACAGACTGATACACTCTTGAAGTCATTCTGTTTCGCTCCATTCTCTCTACATGTCCGAACCACCTCAACAACCCTTCCTCAGCCCTCTGGACAACAGTTTTGGTAATCCCGCACCTCCTCCTAACTTCCAAACTACGAATTCTCTGCATTATATTCACACTACACATTGCCCTCAGACATGACATCTCCACTGCCTCCAGCCTTCTCCTCGCTGCAACATTCATCACCAATGCTTCACACCCATATAAGAGCGTTGGTAAAACTATACTCTCATACATTCCCCTCTTTGCCTCCAAGGACAAAGTTCTTTGTCTCCACAGACTCCTAAGTGCACCACTCACTCTTTTCCCCTCATCAATTCTATGATTCACCTCATTATTATTA